GGTGATTTCTTGTCATCTGATGGATGGTGTGTTTCTTTCAAATTCTTGAAGTTCAGCCTTAATGTTCCGGAGCAAGCAGACAGAAGTGATCTAGAATCTCTTTGCCATTCTGTTGTGATCGCTGGTAAAGCAGATTCAGTAGATATTGAGGAAATTTTTAACCCTATTAGTATTTGGATGTTTAGCTACAGTGTCTTAGATGCGTCTAGTTCGCTGGAGTCATGTGGAACCGTCTTCTGAAGGCCGGGCTTCTTCTGCTGCTAGCTCGTTTGCTGGAGGCTGAATTATCAGTAGAAAATCTTCATTCTCTGAAATACCTATTTCACTGGAGCCATGTGGAACCTTCTTCTGAAGGCCAGGCTTCTTCTGCCTAGTTCGCTGGAGCCATGTGGAATCTTCTTCTGAAGGCCTGGCCTCTTCTGCCTCCTTATGTTTTCATATCAAGGTTTTATCCTTTTACATTTAAGTCCACGATCCATTTTGAGTTACTACTTGTAAAAGGTGTGAAGTTTAGGTAGAGATTCACTTTCTTATTTATTGATAAAAGAGTAATTTGGAAGTGCATCTTTATTTTTAAATTATGATTTCACTTCTTTCTTTCATGAGAGGTAGGGGTTGTTGGGAAACAAGTACCCTTGATGGTCTTGCCACTCTGTGATCCTATCTCAGCCTCCCAGCCAGCCAGGAGTACAGATGAGCATGGATACACCTACGATGTTCAGGTTGATGTGGGATTTGAATCTGGGTCTCCCATGTGGCTCCAGTATCATGCAGCAGTGCCCAACTACCTATGGCAACATGACTGGGCCTAGAAGCTCATCTTTGGATGTGTTAATTGTGTTTTTATGTTTTCCTCTCCACTAACCTAAAATGAAGATGAAAATTCCTGGATTGATTCATTTTCTTTGGTCTTTTGGTATCTGTGGAAGGTCTCCAGATGGTTCCAGGTAAGGAATAGGAAGAAATAGGAAACTTTCATATTTGAAGTGTTAAATTTCTTTGCCAAATTTCTTTCTTTTCTTTTTTTTTTTTTGGAGAGGTTTTTGCTATAGTGCGCGTGTGCTCACCAGACAGACAGAGAGAGACATAGAGACAGAAAGCGAGAAATCACCCCCCAGGGGGGATGGTCACGTCGCAATCCCTTCTCCTCCATTCTCCTCTTGGGATCTTGGGCACGCACGCACATGCACCCGGCGTGAGTTTTAAGCCACCGGGTCCGGGACGCGAACCACGGTCAACCACGTGGGAGTCCAGCGACATAGCCATTATGCTAACTGCTGGTTCCCTTTGCCAAATTTCTTGATGAAATTATCAAATTAATGCAATATTTCTAATCTCAGATATTTCATTTAAAGATATTCCTGTATATGATTAGAGAGCCATTATGATAACACTACTCTCTTGTCACTCCAGCAGCCCCACAAAAAATTAGAAATTCAAGTAGAGATGCTGATTCATTGTGAAATCCAATAGAAACACTCAACAGCTCTCATGATTTGTATTTATAATACTTTTGAAAATATTTTTATTTATTTGAAACTATCTCATGGATATATGCAAATCTTTTGGCGATGTGATTTATCACAATTGTTGATCTGTGTACATCAAATTATCCTTAAATTTTTGAGATAAATGTCATTCAGTCATGATGTATAATCTTTTTTCTTAAGTTTTATTTTTTATATGTATATTTTTACATTCAATCACTGTATATCTTTACAGCATACAAAATGAATTTTGTCATATGAATACATTGTATATTTGTCCAAAGATATTATCATATACGTTATTGTCGACAGATAATTTTCCATGTTTGTGTCCCTTAGATGTTTTGCTTCATTTTTTCCTCTTGATTCCTTCTTCCCACCCCACCTTCCCCATTTCCCAGTTTTGATATACTGTTGGATTTGGTTTGTTAGTATTTCATTGAGAATTTTGGTATCCATCTTCATCAGTAATATCTGTCTGTAGTATTTGTTGTTGCATGTTGTCTTGTTTTTGTATTAGAGTAATACTAGCCCTTGAGAATGAGTGTGAGGGTTCCTTCCACCTTTTTAAAAAATAATTTGAGGAAAACTGGTATTAGTTCTTATCTAAAGATTTCTTTTTTTTTTTTCCTTTTTCTTTTAAAATAAAATCAGCAGAGATATTATTCATTTGGTCCTGGGCTTTTCTTTTCATTTTAATTTCTTTTTATTTCAATTTCTTTTATACATTCAATCTCATGTTACTTAGGTTACAAAATGAATATTCCAACATGTGTACATTTTTCACCAGTCCAGTTGACAATACTATAAAGTTATCTTCAATAGATAATAATCCATTTATTTGTCCCATAAATGCCCTGCCTTTCTGTTTTTCTCATTAATGTCTTTCCTCAGACTATACTCCTTCACTTGCTCTCTTCTCACACTGTATCTGGTATTCACAACCATTTACTAAGTTTCTATAACCTTTAGTCATTCAGTTTTAGCCATAGAGTGCGGACACTCGGGAACTATTTCGTCTTCAATTAATGACATGGATTGAGATACTTTGAGGAACTGGTGCCAACAATGTAATTTGAGTGCCCACAGCCAGAAAATAGACATTTATTTGAGGATCCAGAAACATGTTTACCCAGAGCAAAAACATCAAATTCTCAGAACACCACAAGATGCCAGATTGCATTTGAGGAAATGGAAGGAAGAGAAGGAGATGCTTAAGAAAAGTTACAAGATGAGCAAGGGAGAAGAAGAGACTAATATCGTGGAAGTGATATTTTCAGCTCAGGAAGCCATGATGATGTCATGGGTAAGAATCTCAGCAAGAGCAGTTCAGCCAAAGGCTACGAATTTATGTCTTATTCCTCCTTCAGTTGTGGCCCTTTTGCCACAAGTTTCTGGTGTCAGTGGTGTGTGGTCCATGGCAGACTTCTCCAGGCAGACACAAAAAATTGGGTTCACCTGCAGTTCCAGGCAGGTCCGGCCTGGGTGTCCAACACCCCCAGAAGGATGATTTCTCTCTTTCTGTTATCAACTTGTACTTTCCCATCCCCAGGCCTAGAAGGTAATGTGTTATGCCCTAAATGTGCTGAGAGGAATATGAAGATGATGAAAAGATTAATCACAATGAAAAAGACAAAGCAATGTTCTTTGAACCTTGTAGGAGACAACAATATGTCACCCCCAAATATGCCAGTGTAAGTATTTTGAGCTGAAGGCAATTGAGAAGAAGGTGATTAAAGAAATACTTTCTGCCTTCCCATTATTTGCCAAAAACAGGGCAAAGATTTATAAAAGTACTTCTACCAGGAAGGACAAATGATGGGGAGTCCATAGTTACATGGTCTTGCATCCCAATAATTGCTGTGCTACGTCCTAATCATCCTTAGTGACTCCTGATGCCTGAGTACATACTTGTATTTAGCTTCATTGAATATAATTTGCTTAGTTTCAATTAATACACTTTTGTTTTAGACTTTTTGCTACAGGCCACATGTGCTTGCCAGACAACACACACACACACAAACACACACACAGAGAGAGAGAGAGAGAGAGAGAGAGAGAGATCATTCCTCGGGGGGGTGGCTATGCTGCAATCCCTTCTTCCCCATTCTCTCAGGATTTGGGGCATGCATGCACACGTGCTCTGCATATTTTTCAGGCTGCTGAATCTGGGACTTGAACCACAGAGTTGGCCTAGTGGAAAATGTCACCTTAACCACTATGCCACCTGCTGGCCCAATACACTTTTCTATTTATTTTTTTAGCAGTTTTAGGTTTACAGAAAAATTGAGAAAAAGTACAGAGTTTTCTCTTATTCCCTCACCATGCCCCTCCTATTCCCAGTTTCCTCTATCATTAACAATGGGATTTTGATCATGCACTTACATGTGCTTGGCATGTTTCTTTAGTGTGGTACATTTTTATAGTTGAAGAGTCCATATTGATACATTGTTAGCTAAATTCTATAACTAAACCCCCATAGATAGTTATGTTCATCCTCTGTGTTATACATTCTATGGCTTTTGACAAATAGTTTCGCTGCCTTAAAAATCCTTTGAGGGAACCAGCAGTTAGCGTAATGGCTATGTCGCTGGACTCCCATGTAGTTGACTGTGGTTTGCGTCCCGGACCCGGTGGCTTAAAACTCACGCCGGGCGCGTGTGCACGTGCGTGCCCAAGATCCCGAGAGGAGAATGGAGAAGGGATTGCGGCGTGACCATCCCCCCGGGGGGTGATTTCTCACTTTCTGTCTCTATGTCTCTCTCTGTCTGTCTGGTGAGCGCATGCACCCTATAGCGAAAACCTCTCCAAAAAAAGAAAAAAATATCCTTTCAGTTTCATCTATTCATTGCTCTCCCACCACTCCTACCCCCAATGGGGTATAATCATGTCACAATTCTTTCTTTTTTCTCCATTTCTTCATCCCATTAGGATTTGGGGCATGCAAACACATGTCTGATGCAATTTTCAAGCCACCAGGGCTGGGATTTGAACTGTGTTCAGCCATGTGGGATCTGGCTTTCTATGTATAAGGCTTAATCACTACACTACGGGGATAACCCTGGAAGTCATAGATCCTTTTACTGTCCCATAGTCTTTTCCTTTTCCAGATTGTTTTATACCTGCAATCAAGTATGTAGCCTTCTCAGTTTGGCTTTCACATAGCAATATGTATTTAAGGTTACTCAGTGTGTTTTCATCATTCAAGAACTCATTTCTTGGGAACCAGCAGTTAGTGTAATGGCTATGTCACTGGACTCCCACGTAGTCGACCGTGGTTCGCGTCCCGGACCCAGTGGCTTAAAACTCACACCGGGCGTGTGTGTGTGCGTGCCCAGGATCCCGAGAGGAGAATGGCGGAGAAGG